TATATATATATATATATATGGTACTCCATATGATTTCTTTCACCAAGATCTTTGCAGCAACTCCTCTATCTCTGCTATTACAGCCTCTTCATCTCCATCCTCATCGTAATCAAAGATGCTATCATCGTCAACTTCTTCTTCTGGTCCCGCTCCAACATCAGAGCCTACATTGAACATGATCATCCATTAAATAGTACTGAAAATGAGTTCTTGACATACAAGATTTGAAGCACAGACCTGAACCTGCAGTCTCCACATAATTATAATCCTCAAACAATTTCTCATTCAAAATTGACCTCACAGCTAAATCTGTACTGTCGCGGAGCACAAAGTAATCAGGGTGAGAAAGGTAGTAATGATGAGCCGCCATCTGATATGAAGGCATAAAGAATTCCATGATACTTTCTTCTGATTGATAATCACTAATTGGATTATGTCGCATTGCAAGCTCTCTTGCTTCACTAGTAAATGTTGAGGACTGGTCCAATTCTTGCTTATCATATGCAAGTGCAACTCCAAGCTCTTTCATCTTAAAAGTTTTACTCCAACAAGGTAATGAAACATTAATCTGATCACCAGTTTGTAAATATTTCCCAAACTCCCAGTGGCATAACAATGTCAACCTGTTGTTCTCTCCTGGAATGCCAATGAATGATGGGGCATAAATCCACTTAAGACCCTTTGTAATGTTTTGAACCTTGATGTAAAATGTATGCCCGCCCCCGAATTTATTGTCACCAAAATAGCGATATTTACGAGGACTAGAACGTTCATAGACAACGCAAATGTGCAGTACTGTTATCTCGATATTAGGAAGTGAATCGACATTCAGGGTCAACAACCTCTCTTCACTTTTGTTGCTGAACCAGCTTGGAACCTCATTTCCTGGAAAATAAGTACTGAAGATGCCAAATTCATAGAGTCCCTGATGCCAAAAAAGAAAGAAAAAATACTTTACATTGGATCTGCTCTACAAGTTGAGGAGAAAGTTTACAGTAAGAAACAAACTTACCTGCTGTACTGAATATGTCCTTTTTGTGTTAGTGAACCTACTTAATATTTCCACCACTGTATCTTGTCTGTTATCCAGCTTGAGAAGTCTTAGAGCATTCAATATTTCCACTTCAAAATAATCAATGGGCTTTAGCTTGAAAAGTCCTGAAATCTCACTTAAATTTTCACTTTCCGAGACATCTAAAAAGAGAGTTGACATTAGGTTGGGTAGATTTGTAACTGTTTCCAGTGAAGAGCATCTAACTGCCTTCAACGTAACAAGGCTCGGTGGAAGCTCTGGCAGAGATTGGAGGCTCGGACATCCATCTAACCAAAGGTCTTGGAGCAAACAAAGATTCTTTATACTCTGAGGCAGGTTATAAATCAGATTTTCACTTAGATTCAAGAAGCATAGTGAGGGAAGGTTACAGAGTCCAAATGATAGAGCATCGTCTGTTAAGTTGCATTTAGCAAAACTCAAGCTGACGAGCGAACTTGACAAAGAAGAGAAGGAAAAATGGTTAGAGTCTGGGGATCTTCTTAGGTTTGATGACCAAGTTTGCCAGAGGGACCTCCATGATTTCTCATTACCACCAACTGGCGCTAGCTGACCAAAATTCATGCCATTGGCCTGTAGAGTTTTCAAAGATTCTAGCTTGCCTAGCTCTATTGCTGATGTAACTAGTCTAGAACATCCAGAGATAGTAAATTTTTCTAAGGATTTGAGCTTACAAAAGCTTCCAGGTAGCTTCCTCAGATTCTTGCAGTCTCTTAAGTTCAGATATACCAGCCGGTCGAGGACTCCAATTGATTCATGAATCTTGACCAACTTAATGCAGTCTTTGAGGATCAAAGTTTTTAGATTGGGAAGTCCAGAAAAATCAGGAGTTCTTTTTAGGAAATGGGAATGACTAAAGTTGAGGATTTTTAATGATCTGAGAATCTGCAACATGAAGAGGTAAAAGTTAAGTCTGATTCAAAAGACAAAAAGGGAACACATTTATAACATACCTTGATTCTCTCCCAGGTTCTTTCCAAACAACTGTTTTTCATTTCAAGGGCAACCAGACCCTCTAGAGGGAGATCTTCAGGAATGGTCTTCATGTGAAATCCAGACCAACACAGTAATCTTAAACTTTTCGGAAACAAACTATAAAATCCAGTGAATCTTACATAACTAAGCTGGAGAATCCTCAGCTTCTGCATTCTGGAAAATGCATCAGCTTCAAATTCTTCACTGTTTGAACCCTCTGTATTGGCATCATTACAATGCTCCAAATTCTTACGGTGTTTCCTTGAATAGCCATGACCTAACAGACCAGTATCTTCATTGAGGAAATATGATCTGACAGATTTGACTACTTTGGACAATTTTGTGGACATTTCCTTGTCAAGAACTAGGCATTCAATTTTTTCAGTTCCCTGATAGAAAAACAACAATTGTTTATTCATTAGCGATGATTATAATGCTTACAACACACCAAAGAGTAAAAGAGTTACAGTTTTTTCACTCAAGATATTGAAGGAATCTCTGTATCTCCAAACTCTGCTTCTCTTCCAAGGCTCCCAAGGGGATTCTAGACGAATAATTTCTCTTCCCATATCTTGAATCAATGAATGCACTTTCAGCTTATCCTTGTCCATTTCGATCAGACATCTATCTGAAAGAATCTCAAGTCCTACTACTGAGAAAAAACCACATCCATCAAGTATTGTAACTGCATAATCTTTATCCTTTCCAACAAAGAAACAGACAATATCGAGGAATAGATTCTGTACATCATCATCTAGCAGTAAATCATAGCTGATTCTGAGTTTTTCCAGGATCTTATTGTCAGGGATTGCCTTTAGTTTCCTTAATGCACATTGCCACACCTCTATACTTCTGTCACAAAGAGAAGAACCTAAAACTTTGAGAGCCAAAGGAATCCCTTTACAATGAAGTATCACATTTTCTGAAAGGTCCTTGTGATCTTCTGAAGGTTGTTCTTTTCCAAAAGCATACAAACTGAAGATTCGAATTGATTCTTGAGCATTCAATGGCGTGACCTTATACATCTTACATCTGTAGACCTCACTAGCATCAAATAGGTGCTGATTTCTGGTTGTAATGATAATTTTACTACCCGGATAAAACCATTCTCGCATCCCAAGTACAACATTTAACTGATCTCTATCGTCCACATCATCGAGAACAAGAAGAATTCTTCTGCAACGAATGGCCTCTTGAATCTTGCTGACTCCTTCATCGACATTGTATATCTTCTCAACCTTCTTCCCCAGAACATTTGAAAGAAGTTGTCTTTGTAGACTTACAAGACCATCATGTCTTTCTGAAGTTTTATTTACATCAGCAAGAAAGCTGCTGCCATCAAATTTGTCAAAGTTCAGATTGTAAGCAGTCTTGGCTAGTGTAGTTTTACCTATACCTCCCATCCCATATATAGCCATAATATCAATACTAGTTGATCCATCTTGCAACCAGAGATTGATGTCTCTAACTCGAGAATCTATTCCAACTGGATGGAGAGCAACACTTAAAACTGCGCGATTTAGTTTTCCTGCAACCACCTTCACAATCTCTTGAATAAACTTTGACTCACACCTGAAAATTGGATTGTATTTAATACCATCTAAAGTCAGCAATAAAGCACATTCTCTGCTGTGGAACAATTTGAAATCCACTAATATAAAACTACCTATAAACATCAAGCTAATAAAAGTTTACCCATCAGATTTATTCTGTAAGACCATTCCTCCCAAATCAGCAACTTCTGTTAGAGCAGCCTTCCATTCCTTCACCTTCTGCAACCATTCCAGTCTCCTTCCTTCGGTCCCGGATTTAAATCTCTCTTCATACATTAAAAAATCTTGTTCAAAACTCCCTTTTTGTTTCCTGACCTCTGACGGATCCACATCATAAAAAACAGGCAGAACGAAACGTCGAAAAGCTCTCTTACTCTCAAGTATAAACACAAGTTCATCAAGGCACCTCTCTGAAGAGGTATACTCTTTAGTGAAGACAACAACGAGAATTCTTGATTCTTGAATTGTTTTCTGCAATTCTTTGCATCCCTTTTCATCTATCTCAAGTTCATCAACCCTGAATGTGCGAATACCAGCATTTGATAAAGCTGAAAGTAGATGATCTCCAAAGGACATGCCTATTTTGGTTGCCAAGCTCAAAAATGCATGATAAGCAAACTGAGTCATTTTTTTTTTGTTTTGATCAGTCACTGATAAAAGATTGTTTTTTGAGAAGCAATTGTTTAGAAGCATCGAAGAGATAAATAGGTGACTTCGGAGTTCGGACATGCAGGCAGTCTAAGAAGGTACATGCATTGTTTTTACATGTCAAAATCAACAAGGAATATATATATATTCTAAAATTTACATAACCTAAGGTCTACAGATCATTAACTAACCTAGTAAATGACAACAAATTGGCAATACATATTTGTAGTTATTACTACACAATCTATCTCTTATTTATTGCAAATAGATTTGGAAAAACCATGGTAACAAAAATGCTACTTTAGCACATCTCTATAATAGGACAGAGGTTCTAGAGTGAGAGTCCCTAACTACTACGTGCAACCTTTAAGTGTCAACCTTATGACAAACAAAGTGTTAAAACAATATGAAAATAGAACTACGTTTACATTTCAGCTTATATGACCATATTCTAGAATACTTAAATTGGCAAAATATATCTTAATTATTTGTTTAGGATTAAGACTTAGAGAAACATGTTTCCGGTCCACATTGGGAACATGATGAGAAACTGTCATTTAGAAAGTTTTATCTATCATAAAATTCATATAACTTGTAACATTTTCAAAACCTAACACACTTCCAATAATAAGTTATTTAACATATTCTTTCAATCCAGAAACTGTTGGAATCAGATATAAGAATCCCCAATGGGTATTCACTATATTTAATTTCGTTCCAACACAAAACATATTTGTTTGTTAAGGCAGATTAAGGGTCCACTAATATTGGAGATTTTCTTAATCCCATTCTTATCTTTATATTGACATTTAAAGATTAAAAAGGCTTGTAGGAACACCAGGCATAAGTATTATATGATCCACCTAGTTGGTATCACCTACCATCGTATTCGTATTTTGTTGTTATTGTTTTTATTATTACGCAAGAATATAAAAATGTTGCACTATTCTTCGTATCAACACAGAGTTTATAATGCAATAAAATGTTTATCCTATATTTTTTATTGTAGTAGAACTTTTTACAAATTATCACCCCTCTTCGCCAAATTAACTCCGCCAGTGTGGGCTTGCTCACATTGTCGGTCCCAAGCCCGAATAAAGGAAGAGGATTGCGGTAGACTAGCAGCGAGCGTAAAACTTGTTAATTCATGACGATTTCTCATACCAGATATTGATGTTGTATCGCCCCTCTTCGCCCAAATTATTGAACTAGCGGATGTTTTTGGTAAATACTTTTGGATTTTTAGACTTAACAGTCAAAAGGACACATATTGGTGAATCCGATTCTGATAATTGTATTCCTTCGTCAATTTTGGCATATTATTATTCCGACTCCATGTGAAGAGAAATTCTTGAAATCACATTTTGTGGTGCTACAAAACGATTGAAATAACAAGTCGAAATCATCCTTAAGCATGAAGTTTTAGCTTATCATTATTTCCCACTAAAAGGTAAATATCCAGCTTCTATACCTCCTATTGCTTGATGCAAAGTAAATAATCAAACACATTATATATTCACTATGAATTAAGTCATGTAAAAATTGGATATGGTTTTGAAGCTCAAATCACCATCATTCAGAAGCTTATTTGCTATAATTATGAAAATACCCTTAAGAGTAAATAAAAAGGCAGCTCAGCTATATACCCTGCAGTTTAATTAGAAATATGAAAGAGGAAAACTGAGACTTTTGGAGACTAAATAAAATGAATGGTTATAGGTTACATTTTTGGTTCCTTCCAGTGAAACGACCAAATGACTGTACAATAAGTTGATGAAACATGCATTTACACCATCGCCCACCCAAAGCTGATAAAAAAGAAGAGGACTGGATGTACCTCTATAACTTACAAAATTGTGTAACTAACAAGTATGTCAAGCATAAACAATGCTCAGATATTATCAGGTAATGATTCTGATTGAACCTGACTCGCAACACTTTTGTATATCTTCTAGCTCCACATGATTAAGCGATACATTAGTGTTGGTTTTCAAAGGGAGAGAAGGCATCTTCACAAGTACTTCTGTCATCATGGGAAGAATCTTTTAAGGCCACCAGATATGGGAAGCGTAGAAAGAAGTCCTACAAAGCGCCTTTTCAACGAATTACCTAGGTATGGCAATATTGCTATTTCTGGGAAATCTTGATAATATGGTCTTTTTGCAACATTAGGACCAAGTGCTGGGACAAGACCATCTTCCGACGTATGTGCACTTGGGAGGTCTCCTCCATTTGCAGCAGTTTCCTGTTCCAGGAAAATTTTGTGAGAAACAAGAACGCTTTCAGAATCTACTAAGACAAGCTAAAGAGAAAAGTTACTTACATTGTTCTCTGTCAAGTAATTTGATAGACCCCATTGGTTCAACAATTTACACAATCGTTCCGGTTCCGGATCATCTGCTGATTCTCGACGAATAATTTCTTTCCCCATGTCCTGAATAAGTTGAGGCATCATCACCTTATTTTCGTCATCAATGCTGATGAGGGATCTGTCAATGAGGTTCTGAATTCCGACCATTGGGTGCAAATCACAGTTCTCCAAAATCTTGATAACATCATCTTTGTCCTTCCCAACAAAAAAAGAAGCAATAAGGAGGAACAACCTCTGGTCATGATCATCTAGAGACTTATAGCTTATCTCAAGATTCTTTTGAACTTTGCTATCAGGGATTGCTTCCAATTTCTGTAATTTACTTCTCCATATTTCCATACCTCTCCCTGAAAGAAAAGAACCCAAATCATATAGGGCTAATGGAAGCCCACTGCAATGCTGTATTGCCTGTGTTGAAAGCACCTTGAACTCTTCTAAAGGGTGGTCTTGTGCAAAGGCGTACCAACTGAAGAGCTTTAAGGACTCATCATCCCCAAGTTCCTTAATCTTGAATAACATGTGCCTCTCGTGCGCCTTCAACAATTTCTCACACCTTGTTGTTATGAGAATTTTACTCCCCGGATAAAACCAATCCCTTGTCCCAATAAGTGAATCTAAGACATCCAGCTCTTCCACATCATCAAATACAATAAAAACCTTTTTGTTGCCAATAGCATCTTTCATTTTGACAATTCCTTCGTCAGCATTGTATATCTTTTCCTTTCTGCCTTTCAAAATACTTTCAAAAATTTGTTTTTGCAAATAAACCTGGCCATTTGGATGTTTCTCTGAGATATCTCTGACATTCGCAAGAAAGCAACTGCCTTCAAATCTGTCATAGTTAGAGTTGTAAGCTACTTTAGCAACAGTAGTCTTTCCTACGCCACCAAGTCCACATATCACCCCGATGCCAACTTCACTGGATTCATCCTGTAACCATGAGTTAATGTCCTTCACTCTAGACTCTAACCCAACTGTGTATGAAGGTACACAAAGTACCGTCCGATCCAATCTTTTGAGTATCTCCTTGATGATTTTTTGGATGAATTTTGCCTCGTGCCTGAGTTGCAGCGCAAAAGTAAGAGACGAAACAAGAGTTGATGAACTTCTGACTGGTAATGCTAAAAGCACATACAAGTCATGATTATTCACAGACATGAGGAAGCAGCACCCAAGGGTGTGGCCTAGTGGTCAATGAAGTTGGGTTGAGAACCATAGGTATCAGGTTCAAATCTCCGTGGAGGCAAAAACACTAAGTGATTTCTTCTCATCTGTGCAAGTCTTTGGTGGACAGACTTACCTGGTACCTATTGTTGGTGAGAAGTAGCAGGTAGCCCGCGGAATTAGACGTGGGCACGCAAGCTGACCGGGACACTACGGTTATAAAAAAACGATTATTTTGGAAGCAACAAAAAATATTGCTTCCTTAGAGATCAATGTTTTATATCCAAGAGTTCCTAGGTGCCTAAGTCCTTTACTTCGACTAGGTAGAGAGAGGCCTTACTAACTTCTCACATATGATAAGCAGGAGAAGGAAGGACGGGAAAAGAAACGGAAAAGAAAACACAGACACATCCCTGCACACCAAGAGCTCAATTTGGGTGCCACCATACCCCAATATAAAGGGAAGCACATATATGGAAAAGAGGACCCAAAATCTAAGAGAAGATTCACCAGCATTCTTGAGCATCAGAATGTGTTTGATGTTTTGCTACCTAAATATAAAGGTCATACTACTGGACAAAAAGTACCGAGTCCTATGATGTCTATGTCGAACTCCTTTTAGAATCAACAGAAATCTAATAGGGAAAGATCCTCTATTTTCAGTGGTTTGAGTTTGTAAACATTTAGAAAGCATCGGTAACGAGACTTCTGTAATGAAATCAATCAGTAGACAAACCGAGCAAAACATAGTTCTAGACAATTATCTATATAGTTCTCTACAAACATCATCACCCAAGATAATTTTACACAGCAAACTTAGCAATTTCTCACCCACATATGGCTCTTAAGACTAATTAATCTAAAGCCAAGTTAAGGAAATGTCAGATGAAGAAAAAGAAATTACCGAATCATGAGAAAATTTTAAAAACACTCACCCGTCTACTTCTTTAGCTAAGCACATTCCTTCCAATTTAGCAACTTCTTTAAGAGCTAATCTCCACTTGTCCATCTTCTCCATCCATACCTTTCTTTTTTCACCAGTCTCCGCATTCCCTCTCTTTTCATGATTCACAAAAGCTTCAGCGAAACTCCCAGTTTGGTTCTCAACATCCTCAGGACTCACAGTATAAAACACAGGCAAAACAGTATGACCCTCTTTCTTCCTTCGGACAACAATGTTAACAAGCTCATCAAGACACCATCTTGAAGAAGCGTAGTCTTTGGATAAAACAATTAGGGAAATCTTGGATTCTCGAATACCCTTTTGGAGTTCAGATTCTATGTTTTCTCCTCTGCGGATTTCATCATCGTCTCGAAAAGTTCGTATTCCCGCGTTGATGAGAGCTGAGTAGAGATGATCAGTGAAGTTTTTTCGGGTATCTTCACCTCTGAAGCTCAAGAAAACGTGAAAAGAGTAACGGGTTTGTGTGGGTTGTGGGGTTTGTGGAGTTGCCATTGAAAATAGTCCAAGAAAATGATGACCCAACAGAGAGATTTTATGGAAAATGATAAGTTTTG